TAGGAAAAAACCTCTGGATGCGGCTGGGCCTGGACTCAGAGAGTCGCTCCTGGTGTTGGGGGTTGGGTCGCACTTGACATGGTGTTGCTTGATTGCCACCCGAAAAGTGAAGGAATTGAAAAGTAGTCCGCTGATTCAAAAGCTGCAGCAGATGTTTCAGACAAAGCCATGAAGGGGAACAAATTTACCTCTTCGTTTGATCACCCTGGCTTCTGCCTCTCTGTCCCAAGGTGATTTGGGATGAACGGGTATCGGCAACATGGGGGAAGGCTATCGCAGCAGATGGAAATGGATCAAACACATTGATCCCAGGGATGAAGGCCGGAAAACGGCTCAAAGGAAGAAGCTGCAAACATATGCAAAGGAAGGAAGGAAGGAAGGAAGGAAGGAAGGAAGGAAGGAAGGAAGGAAGGAAGGAAGGAAGGAAGGAAGGAAGGAAGGAAGGAAGGAAGGAAGGAAGGAAGGAAGGAAGGAAGGAAGGAAGGAAGGAAGCAAGGAAGGAAGGAAGGAAGGAAGGAAGGAAGGAAGGAAGGAAGGAAGGAAGGAAGGAAGGAAGGAAGGAAGGAAGGAAGGAAGGAAGGCAGCAAGGAAGGAAGGAAGGAAGGAAGGAAGGAAGGAAGGAAGGAAGGAAGGAAGGAAGGAAGGAAGGAAGGAAGGAAGGAAGGAAGGAAGGAAGGAAGGAAGGAAGGAAGGAAGGAAGACACGGCGGCCAAATACATTACGCCACACCCTCACGTTTCACGTTTGTATCTCAGAGGGCTCGCCGATCTGAAGACTTGACCTTAAACACAACCAAAGCAGAATCCCCGCCCCCCCCCCCAAAAAAAAAAAAACGGCCACCCTCGCCACCTTTGCCACTGGTCTATAGTGTTGGCCTTTGGTCTTCTCTGGGAGAAACTCTCAAAATGGACCCCAGAAACAACAAGGGAAGCAACCATTTTAGGGGCACAGGGGACCCTTCTGAGAACCCGGCCGAACTGGTCTCCAGACAAAAAGCGAATCCCATGCTGGTCAACGTCTCCAGACAAAAAGCGAATCCCATGCTGGTCAACGTGAAAAAGCCTAAACCTATAGGAGCTATGCTGCCAAGTTCCTTGACCCAGTCGTCCTCCAGCTGGGTGTTTCTGTTGCAAAACTGGGAACCAATGCCTCCGGTAGGGGGGTTCCTTTCGAGTTCCTTTTCAGACCATCTGCGACGCCCCCAGCTCACTGCCCGGAGCCTCAATTCTGGCACCGCTGTCAATGCAGAACTGCTTGATGGTCTCCCCACCACGACCTTGGATCAGCAGTGCGAAGCGGAAGGATTGGGAAGCCATCCCGTGCTTGTCCCGCCCCCATGTGAGTCATAATCAACACCTGGTACTGAAATGGTGCACCCAGAACCATGTAAAGAATTGCCAAGGCGGATATCCGCACCCATTTTATGGCTGGGATTCTCCCTTACTACCCTCCAATTGCCCGGGTTTTGATTGTGGCTCGTGTTCTGTTGGGGGAGGCCATCAACTCCATCATCAAAAATATAAGCAAATGCTTCAGTTTGGTGAGTATTGGCCATGTTTTCGGGGGGCCATCAACTCCTTCATCAAACAAGTATAGTGCTTGGGGTTGGCAGAGGCTACCCTTCCCGTGCAAGTATCTGCGAAATGCCCCCATTGCCTGAACTTGGGCAACAACCCCAAGTCGGCTATCGTCGTTGGGAAGCACTTCTGAGAGCGCTGCCAATGATGGCACCAATCAATGATGAAGGTACCTCATGCGTGCAATGTCAGCCCCAAACTCCGCTGAGACTATGAGACTCACTAGACTTCGAATCTACTTGCTTGCATGCAGGATGAGCAGCTTTCAAACGTCATCTGAGTCACAGGAGGATTGCAAAGAGCGGGCTGACCGCACCAGCATCTTGCTGCATATTGCTTTCGGTTTGTCTACTCTGTCACATGGAAATGGCAAACCATGTCACAATGTGATTGGCGCACGCTCAACATCTTGTTGGCCTCATCGACTTTGGGTCCTGTCGGCATCCCCTCCCCTACCCCTTCCAGCCAACCCGCATTGAAGCCGGCAGGGGCGGAGGTCTGGCGCTTTTGGAGTCGCGTTCAACCCTCACGGCTGGCGAGACCCTCCCAGCCGGCTGGCGGCTGTCCTTTGCCCTCCTTGCCGCGGCCCTTCCTGGCTCGGAAGCAACTGGAGCAATCAGGTGGCGCCCTCGCACGCCTTTGGATTGGGCTCGGGGTTGGAGTGGCGGGTTTGGGGGGGTTGGGGTGGGGGTTGGGGGTTGGGGGGTTGGGGGGTTGGGGGGTGGGGGGGTTGGGGAGTTGGGAAGTTGGGGGGTTGGGGGGTTGGGGGGTTGGGGGGTTGGGGGGTTGGGGGGTTGGGGGGTTGGGGGGGTGGGGGTCTTTGACAGCTTGTCACGCTGAACGAATGTCGACTCCTGTGGCACACGTACTCTGCATTCCATGCGCGCCCGTTGGAAAGGGGGTCTCCTGGCCTTTGGTGGGTGGATGGATTCCTCCGCTTGCAGTGTAGGCGTGCAGAGTCTGCCGTTTCACCAGAACACATTGCTTGCTCTGGGCAAGCTTGGCGGCTGAAAGCATTGTGTGGGACGCGTTGATGTTCAAACCACGGTAGCTGGACCTGGTTCACCTACAATGTGGCTTTAACATCCAAGTTGCCGGGCAAAGTTTGGCAAAATGGGAAGTCTGGGTATTTCTGCGTGGTGAGTTTTTCACAGAATGGCAACTCAAAGCACCGTCACCATGCTTAAGGCCCCGCCTTGCGTGTGTTTACTGACAAGCACCACCCCACTGGCAACAAATTCGAACACCCATTTCCATCGCACTATCACCTGTTTGCCTTTGTGGCTACATTTCTCACACTTGCAAGCCTCTGGAATGCTTATATGACAAAACTGCGCCCATCTCTTAATTTCGCGCTCAAGTGCTGCAGGTCTGCCCTGAAGAGCAGTTGCTTTAGGCACACTATGGCACACTCAAACCTCACAAGACTTGGAGGTGGACGCTGTTAGAGTCCAAGCAACATTGTCTTTGAGGCGTTCTTTGCATAGCCGTTCCCTTTGGGTCTGTCTGCATACCGGTGGAGCCTAGATACGCTCCTTCGAACGTCTTTTGAAGACATGGGGTATGTTGTCGTGAAGTCAGCCCGGCACCTGGCCTGCCCAAGGCAGCTTCCTGGGTCGCCAGCACACCTGAATCCCACAAAACACCTTGAAAGGGAAGCGACGACAATTGGGTCACAATCAAAACCCGGTACAAAAATGGTCGACCCAGAACCATGCAAAGAAACTAAGAAGGCGGCCGCAGCTATTTATCGTCCCTTACTAACCTTCACTTACCCGGGTTTTGATTGTGGCTCAATTGAGTCGCAATCAAAAGCCGGACGATTAGAGGGTGGTAAGGGACAATCCCAGCCATAAAATGGGTGCGGATATCCGCCTTGGTAATTCTTTGCATGGTTCTGGGATTACGACCTTTCTTATACCGGGTTTTGATTGTCCGCCATCCCAATCCTTGTCACGAGGCGGCAAGTTTCAGATCCAACTCGTAGCCGCCTCCCCCCACAACAAAGGAAAAGCAGCCCTTTCTGAGTGCAACACGAGAAGCCACCCGTTTTAAACGCAAAATCGGCATCCGCATTCAGCAGGCCAGTGAGAAGCAGAGAGTGGGCGCCGGGCGATCCAAAATGTTCTCGGGGAAGCGGATAAACTTCACCTCAGGCCGAGACCTCCTGTTGGACCCCGTGTTGAACAGAGGCAGTAGACGAAAAGTCTTTACGAACACGCACATCATGTACGGCAAATGAAACGGTGGTATATTCCCTCTAAAAGCAAATCTGCGTGGGAGACACTTGGACAACAATTTGCTGGTCCTTGTTTCCCGTGTTACTAGGAGAACTACATAATATTTGCCAGTGCTTGTAAAATGCAGCCAGCTGTTGGGTACTCACCAAAGTTACAATAGTGGGTGCAAGCATGTTCCTGCATCAGTAGCATTCTGTGAGAAATTCAAGCTATAAAAGGAAGATCGGATTCAACAGCTGACTGATTGCCGACAACTCCTTTCTCAGCTTCCCTCAGCTTGGTGGTTTGGATTCGTGGTGAGGTTGGGTGGCAGCTTCCCATGTTCATCGCCCTGCGGCTTCAAACCCCCAGGCCAATCCGGGCCCCGCGGGTTGCTTGACTTTTTGGACTGCACGGCGAGGCACAAAGACGAGCTGGGCCCCGCGGCGAAGTTGCCTCGGAGGGTGCACTCCTTCATTCGCTCGAACTTGTTCTCCCCGTGAGCTGTACTCATACAAACGGCATCCTGCGGACGAAAGGGTCGGACGGCCCGGCAGAGCATGCGGTAGTGAACCTGCATCTGCGACCTTGCGAGGAAGCTTTCCTTTCGACATAAAGCCGCTGGCTTGAAAAGGCCGTCACAGCATGCACATGACATGAGCAGAACATGCTGGCATAGATTCAAGTTTCGCGGCTTCAAGTATCAAGTTCGAAAAGATCTGGCCCTAAGTTTTGAAGCCTTAAGGCTTCTGTATGCATGTTCCTTAGCGCTCCAACCGACCCGGACCCATCCCTCTCAACTTCTGGATGGTAGCATGTTGTTAAACAACCCGTGATTGGGACGTGACAGGAGCACGGTCGATTAGAGGATCTGCTAGTCTTCAGCTTCAATACTGTCTCCAGTTCTGCGCCCCGGATGGCCTGCCGGTTTTATGTGAACCACGTCGATTCTTGCATGCAAAAAAAGACGCTCCGCCTCCAATCGGATATTCATGAAGTTGTCTACCGCCACCTTGGTGCGTAATGCTGACCCCGGATTAATAAACCCCCTGTTTATTGATTTGGGGGGTGTCCCTGGTTGTAGTGAGCATTCATCACTTTTGGAGTGGAACACCCCCATATTATTACACAGGGGGTTGTTCATCCGGGGTCAACATTGAGGCATCTGTGGCCACAAAGGAACCTGGGACACCGGTCGGAACCAGTTGGCCGCTCGTTGTCTCATACGCTGTCTAAAAGCTTGCATTATAAACAACCCCTGACAGCCTACCTTTCGGTATTGCCCCTTTTGGCGGGCCAAGATGTGATGCGTGCATGCTGTTGGACCACGACAAGCTGCAATCCCACTGCCAGAGATTTATGCACATTTGCTTGCACGCAGAGACGGACTAGGGGATTAAAGGCTTGGGGGCATGTAAAGTCCATACCAAGTTGCGCTTCCAACACACGTGTAGGTGCTGCCAACACTCTGCGGCGCTCCGCATTTCGTCTTGGGCTACGGCCAGAGTCCCTGTGTAGGAGTCCCCATTTTTCAGCTCTACGAGCGTTGGCCTCGTAGGAAAAAGCAGCGGCGATTTGACTGATTTGTCGTCTCACGTCTCATCTCTGCCCTTGATGACTTGCATCCGAAAAGGTAGTGTCAAGGCCCTGCAAGGGTTGCTGAACGTCCTACCTAGAGAGGTAACATTACTGCAGCATGGGGAAGTCTCTCACAGGAGACAAGGCTCACTTACTTACCCAAAGCAACATGCTCAGGCTGTGATCGTCTGACTTAACAGGTCGCGCCTTGCAAGTTCTTTGTCTGACAACAGGATCTACCAAACCAGCACATCCAAATCCAGAGAGTTCTGGTGTGGCCAGAAACCTTGGCCCCAGAACTTCGCCCGGAACTCTTCTGCCACAACAGGATGCCCCGAACAAAGGATGGGCTGAAACATTGCATTCCCTGTCAGTTTCGGGCAGCTCTGTTTTCGTTGTACACGAACGGGCCGTTGCCGATTGAAGAGCCAATCGCATGTTGGTGCAGCCATAAGTCGAACGGTAAAGATTCAGCTGCCCTGATTGCCAAGGTTGAGGTGCCCAGCAAGGACTGACTCGCAGTCTGCAAGGACTAAACAGTTGCTTTGTTTTGTTGTGTGTGTTCTTGTTTTGTTAAACAACAAAATGGGCTTTTGTAAACACCCAACCCAAAGGTTCTTCAAAGGTGTTTGTTTATAAACCCAATGCGAGTGGTAAACTCCCATGTCGTGCCCTTCACTCGGGCGCAGACGACCAATAGCTACTGCATCAACCACTTCTCCGTACAAAGTATGGCGAATCCTGTCTGCTTGGCCAGACTTAGACTGTTACAAAACGTCAGCTTGTTGGCTAGAAGGGGGAAATGAAGGAGAACCATAACATAACTTGGGGGCAAAAAGTGGAAAAGCTTCTAACTTGGTTTGTAAAATATGGACAACACGTGGAAGACAAGGTGGGTCAAGTCTGTCTGCTTCCAGCGAGAAAACCCACATCACTGGGCTGCCGCGCCCGTTGCTGGCGGATCTCAGCACGGCTTGCGGCAGCACCATGGCAGCGATCGAGCTGAGTCAACAGCCGAGCGCCCGCAGCCAGCGCTAAAAAAACAGCCCTCAGGCAGGGGCTGAAAGACGTCTTTTTTGAGGGTTCCCTTTCTTTGCTTGCCCCTTCTTGGGTGGGTCGTCTTTTCGAGTTGGTACCCAGCGTTTGGTGGGGTTTAAAGGGAAAACCAAATGAGAACCACCTCCTCCTTTTTTTTGGAGGGGGGGTGGGTTTTCCATGCGCCAAAGGGCCCATGCCAAATGCTTGAAGGCCCATTGGCATGGAAAAGCGATCGGTGCCGATGGTTGGTTTGAGAAGGCTGGGGCCCCCAGCTGAACTTGACCCACTGCCAGTTACCGCCAGCACAAGCTCATTGACTATCTGTGTTACCGCCAGCTTAATTATAGCTCGTGCCAACAAACTCTGAGTACAAGCACATAGCAACCTATGGTGTGTGAGAAGTATGTGAGAAGGCCCACAATATGCTCAACTGATGCCGTAGCCGCACTTCAAATGGCTGCGATGTCAAACGGTGTGCCAAGGCCAGTGTGGGGTGTCTCATGTTGTTCCTGCAGCATCCTCGGCAGGACATACAGTGGGCAATCCGCACAGGCGCGGTGTACTCAAATTCAAATCCCCGACGCTGGTGCTGTCGCCTGGTTGGTCAACTCTGATGCTGACGCCTGTTTGCTCAATCCTCTCTCTTTCTACACAGCTCTGCGTTATTAGATACCCTCACCCTAAGGCCGCTCTCTGGCGGACAGAACCAGACAGATCGCTCGATTGGTTCCTAAGGGCCACCCAAGGTTGGCCCTGGCAACCCTTCTAAACCTCTCAAAATTATCAAGGAGAGGTTCGTGCTTCAACAATTGCTTCGTTGTCCGTTCTCTAGTCGGAATTTCACACCTGTGCACTGGCAGCACATACCCCACATGGGAGGTCTGGCAACTAGTAGTATGGTCACCAGGCCCCATAAGTGTAAACTCGCAAAGTGGCCATGCAAAAAAGAGGGCACCCTCTTTTCTTGTTGGTTGAGTGTAAAGGGGAACCCTTACCCAAAAAAAGAAAAAAGGGCACCACTGAGTCACTGAGCAACAAAGTAAATAAACTCTAAAGGTTAGCTTTCCCAACTCTGAGGAGATTCCATTGGTAAAACTTTGTCGTTCCCATGCCGCAGCCTGATGCATCGTGGCGTGCGTAGGCCAGCGCCAAGCCGTGTTTTCAGAGAACGGTCAGAAAATCGGTCCAAGAAAAGGCGAGGCTCCGCTCCAATTCGCAGATTTCTGGCCCCGGGATTGCAAATAAAAAACCGGAAGCATCGGCCCAACAAGTTGTGGCTGGTCTACAGTTTCTCAGATGCCCAGTGGCCATGGGAAAAACAGGGCACCCTGTTTTTGTTGGTTGAGTTTAAAGCGGAACCCTTACCCAAGAAAAAAGGAAAGACAAAGGGCACCACTAGGCAACAAAGCTTACAGAACTGGCCCATATGGGATCTGCAAGCGGCAGCGCAAGCCTCGCAAAGATGACGACGTTCACGGTGACACATCCGAGCCCAAGTCAGAATCCGCAGTGTTTAAGGGAAGCCTGCAAGAGCTTGGGTGGTTTTTGATTGCCAATGCCGACATGTGTGCATCACATGGCAGAACCGGATTCTGACAAAGTCTCATCCGATGAAAGCAGTTTGGCCTGGGCAGAACCCTGGAACGGCTTGGTGACTCATGACGCGTTCTCGCGGTCGGACCAAACACCTTGCTTCCATTTGCTTAAGTTCCCCTGAGAAAGTGAAAATATTTCCAGTAGTGATAGATTCCCTTTAAAACCAACAGGGGATAATTAAAATATATTCTTAACCAAATGGAAGCTTGGAGATTAAAACTAATCAAATCAAAAGGCCGGGGGCCAAGCAATGCCTAGCTTCGCTCCAGTTTGATCCCTTCTGCCTAAGAAAGAAGCCAACAACAGAAAAGAAGTTCTCCAGACGCGAAACCTCCAGGTCCGTGCAGATTTAGAATAGCCAACTTGAAGCCACAGGGACTTCCCCTGTCCCGTCCGGGGGTTTCGGCAACCGCCCTTGTGCCATAAGGAAGGCGTACTTTGCGCTACCAAGGCGAGGTTTTTCAGCCACCTGAACCCCGCCCTGGGGCCCCGGTTTAAATACGACATGCTTCTTCTCTTTTGGATCCTCCCTTGTGTCATCAGGGGAGGGGATTGCTTGATCACAGAAATTATCACAAACACACACAAAACATCCCTGGCCGGAAGCGCACATTTGCTTTGGCTGGTATTCGGAAACCTCCCAGATGACTGCTTTCGACTTACCCTCACAGTTATCCACCGAAGGTGTGGTTTCATAGCGGAAAGGAGAAAAAAAAGGCCATGACCCGCGAAGCATGTAGGTGCGGAGAACAAAGCATAGGCTGCTACTTGAATGCTTGCTAACTCTGAAACACAAACATCGCATCATCTGTTTGCCGAAAGGCCCCAATTCATACTCCAGGTGTTCGCTTCCTAACATTGCAATGAGCATTTTGTTGGTGCATGAAGGCAAAAGGTATGGATCCCAAAGTTCATTAGTCACCCCAAAACAGGAGACAAGGCCGTGTTGGTGCTCTGGAAGCGCCATACTCAAGTTCTCTGGAAGGATAAATCCGTCGCTGGAAGCATCAAAAGACCAATCCAAGGCATCCAAATAAACACCAGAGTGTGCCTTAGACTTGAAAGGTGTGAGGTAAAGATGAAAAGGTCTGATCGAGAAACGCCAGCACATACTAACATGTTTGGAGTAGCTTCTGCTGGATGCATTCGTCACCACACCAACACCACACAAAATACAACCACACACTTTGCAATCTGGGGACGACTGGAAGCAATCCTACCACTGTCGCTTGACACGCGAACATCCAAAACACGATGAGCCAATGGGCTGACTGACAATCACCTCAAGCCGGGAGCGACATGTCAAACTCAGGGGCCAAATGGCACAAAACGCCAGGGTGCTGAGCCAAACGACTGTTTCTCTTTAAAAAAACAAAGACATATAAATATGTATGTGTATATATATATACTATACGTATATTTGGGAGGGGGTTATGAACAATCAAACCCAGCGCGCTTGGCGGGCATCCTTGCCTCGAGGCCCAGGCCCGAAACCTCACCTCAGCTCCGGTTCAAAAGTTGGGTGACTGGAGTGACTGGAGCGACTGGAGAGGAGCTCTGGGCCAGAAAATCCAAGCGAAGGAAGGCATCAGCCTGGAGATTTGGAAAGGTGACAAGAACCTCTATCAAGACGCGCCAGTTTCTTTCATCTTGCCAGGTCCCTACGCATGCACCTTGACGGGTCTGAAACACCGCTGCAATTCAGGGAGAGAGCAATGAAGGGGCGCACTACACTGACACCTGGCAAGTAGCGCTAATGCAATGGGAAGCTGCAACCACCGACCAAAAGGAAGCCAATCGCTGATGCTGGCCAGAGCCAAGGAAGCCAAAGCCACAGCCGCACACAGCCAAACACAGCCAAACACAGCCACCAGAAGCCACCAGAAGCCACCAGAAGCCACCAGAAGCCACCAGAGGCCACCAGAGGCCACCAGAAGCCACCAGAAGCCCACCAGAAGCCACCAGAAGCCACCAGAAGCCACCAGAAGCCACCAGAAGCCACCAGAAGCCACCAGAAGCCACCAGAAGCCACCAGAAGCCACCAGAAGCCACCAGAAGCCACCAGAAGCCACCACCGGTGGGCCGGAAAAACACACACACACACACATAAATAAATAAATAAACAAATGAATAAACAAATGAATAAACAAATAAATAAATAAACAAATAAATAAATAAATGAACACGCTATCCTTTTGGAAACATAGATGGACTGTCGAGCTGCCACCCATCGTCCTCCTCCACCTTGGACTTCTTCAGTTTTTTCACCTGCGAGCCAGCACAATTCTCCTGACCCGAATCTAGGCCGAGAAGCCAACACTAACACACACACACACACACACACACACACAGCCAACACACAGAGGCACACACACACACACAATTGCATGCTGAGCAACGCAAGGATGGCAGCGTTTGAAGCGGGCAAGATAGTGAACATTTTGAAGTCAAGATTGAGGCACAGGCTTCCCCTGAAAAATAAACCTCTGAAATCTCCCAGGAAAGCTGAAGCGCTACAACACTGGTCGGATACATAAAAACCATGAACACGCCAGATCAGGATTTCCTTCACTCAGCCCTTTTTGCAGCAGCAGCAAAAGCACGAAACAGTCGAACAGAGAGGCGCCACAAAGGGTCGAGTTCCGGAGAAGGGGACGGCAGTTGATGCTGAGAGTCAACTCCATCCGAAGCGTCAGCGCTGCCCAGGCTTGCGGCGTAACTGAAGTCTTGTTTTCTGTTTGACCCGGCAAAACTGATATCTCCCTCTGAACCACGTGCTTGAGCTCGCCAACAAAGACACCGTACCTATTGCGCCGCACCTTTCAGAGCTAGCATGCAAACCCTCTTCCATACTTGGAGCAACTAATTCGTGAACACGGACCTGCAGCAAAGCAGCATCAGCTCTCTTAAATCCACTGGTGAAAACGCCGGTGCTTGCTACGCAAGACAGTGTGGCCTTGTGTTTGGGCTACAACTAAAGCATAACGCCTTGCTCGAACCCTTCCATGTCAAGCAGCCGCGAAGCCGACTTTGAAACATGGTGCAAACATGTCCAGCCATCCTTCACCTTTATCCTAAAGGCCTGCAACCTGAAAAGAGAAGTCATCAAATTTGCCGCGCAAAGCGCCAACTGGAGGGGCCCAAGCCAAAAAAATCGTGCCTCATGGCACGGATTTATGGCAGCAACCTCCCCCCAAATCTGACTGCCCATGTCCGTAAGCCCCTACATGCCCATCCAAAACTCCCCCAACCCAAACACTCCCACCCCGCAGCCGCGAGACAGCCCGAGACTGCCGACTGCGCGCCCTGCCTCCTCCTCGCTGATACCCTGCGCCTTCTTCAGACTTTCCAGCAGCTCCTAGGGTCGAACTTTGAGCTGGACAGGGCGTCACACGATGAAAAGCCCGGTGACAGATGCCAAAATGATCGCTTAGGTGGATGGTCAAACATAGGTATCCAAAATGGATTGCCCTGTAAATGGAACCGAGAAGTAAAACCTGCAGTCCCCTGGCGGTTTGATTTTGACCCATACACCGGTGTCGAGGGAACCTGACGCATGTTCACCCAAATGACCTTTGGAGAATCTGAGGATGCCATTCCCACTGCCGACATGTAGGGTCTGGCCTGACAGCTGACAGCCGCGCCCAATGTCAGCTTACCCCGAGTTGGAACACAAGCAACTCCTTGGCTTTTGCTGTGAAGCCCCGGAAGCTTCCAGTCATCCCCAGTCCAGTGGATTTGCTACTTGCTGCACTTTGCCAACCAGCAAGTGTGTTCCTCAACCAAAAAACAACTCAGAAATCCCACTGGCACATGCAGCAAGCTAGGCAGCGGTACGGACTGCTTGGTGGTCTCATCATCCTCAACATCTTCCATGCCTGCCAGTCAAGCTTCCGGTGTGCTTTGTTCATTGGGGCCCCCCAAACTTGTGGTTGTCCTTGGCTTTTCCCTTTGAAGCCACCAAATAAAGGGGTACCCTCCAAAACAGACACATCCAAATGCCTCATGTAGAACTAAAGGGACGAGGCTAAGCCTGCAAGAGATGACTGGAGAACTAAACCGATGATTTGGGCTGAAGCTTTGTCCCTAGCAGGATTGTTCACTCCCTCCGTCCAGTGCGTGAACCCCATAAGAGCGCAAGTGTACAAACGCAGCGTTCAATTTCAGCATGACTTATTGACTCCTGGTTCGAGTGAGCGAAATGTGAAGCAATGCGTGGCTGCTCATTAGCTACTCCTTTATAATCACTTTGCACGTTGTAAAGACCGTGTAACATATTTGGTGCCAGAGTTGGTTGCCAGAATCTTGCTTGATGCCTTTCAATCGGCTTCATTCGATTGCCAAAGCTTTGGGTCAGGCGCCACCAACCCAGTGCCCTCTCATTTCCGTATGTCAAACGGCTTTCACAATCTCAAAGGTCCAGGGACTCCGGTATTCATATGCTCCTGCTCATGACATCGTCGCTCCATCCTTTCCACATGTGGTAGGCCCAAAAATAAACCTGCGAAATTACAGTTGTTTCCACTAACACACACACACACACAAAAAAATGAGCAAATAAATATATAAATAACATTAATATATATATATATATTTGTATATATCCAACAATGGCTGCAGACCAGTGGCGCGGATCTTGGTGTCCTTTTGGGGGAAATCCATGGGTTTCCCTGGCAGATGAGTAAACCGCCTGGCTTACCCCAGGAATCGAAACCCAATTGCTTTTCACCAAAAACCAGCAAAAAGGACATCTATGTAAACAACCCATACACACATATATATATATATATATATACATAGAGATGTATGTTTTGTTTTTCCTAAACAGCCCAAATTCAACCCATGGAGACCACCCCGGCAACCCCGACCCGCTTCGGCCGCCTGCGTCGGCGCTGAGCTGAGCCTTGAGGCCCTCGCTCAGAGTGCCGCGCTCCTGGCCGTGGAAGGCCGCGTGTCGGCCCGCGGTTTCTTGGCGTTGGCGCCCCCCTGCTCTGTGCCTGGATCGCCAGTTGCTTTTCTTTTTTTTTCCAGGCACTTTACCCCCAAAAAAAAAGCAGCCGCGACTGAAAAAAGCGGCAACTTGGCTACCTAGGTGGCTTCAAACAACAAAACCAACGGGACCACCGAAAACCAAAAGGCCTTTGTCTGAAAAAAAGTACGGGGACAACAATTAATCAAGTAACCCTTTGTGAGAACCGAAAACCAAAAGGCCAATTTGGGAATTTGGACCTGGTCCCCTAAGCTACTTGCTTGTGAATGAGGGGATGAACCGTTTTGGGATTCCCTGAATAAAGGAAACGAAAATCGGTTGGATGGCTTCAATCGGTGTCATTCCACTTCCCATTCCCTGCAATTAAACCCGATTTAAACCATCCCTGGACCCGGTTTCCTTCAATTCTGCGTCCAGCGGTGGATGTGGCCACTTCTCATTCCCTGGACACACACTTGTGAAGCGCTTCCCGCAGGAAGTAGGGATTGAATCTGTGTCAAGCTGTCAAGCTGTAAAAAACTTGGTTGCTTTCTGCTCCCCTGCTGAAAGTTTAACTTTTAGTGGTTTAACGGAAACCCATTCGTACATCCCTGGGCAAAATGATTCCATGCACAAGCAAATTGACGTACAAATGCAAGTTCATGAACGTCAACATGTCCTATTCACACCAAAGTACAGCTGGTTGGTCTACTTGTCCATATGGCAACCCATTTTGGGAAATCTGAAATCTACTTTTGAGCAACACCTCCAGGGATGGATCCAAGAAGCATTCGCCATTCCCTACCCAGTGGCTTTAAAGAGGCTTCCACACCGCAGGCGACATTTCTCATCACCGCTCTTGCCCGTATAAAAAAAATACAAAAAAAAAATAAAAAAATAGAGGATTGACAGGTGGCCGGAAAGAGATGCACCAAATGCTCCAACCTGCCGACAGGTCGGTTCAACACGCCGGGGGGCCGACAGGTCTCGCCTGGGATGCGGTGCCGGCCACCTCCACCGCCTTGGCAAAGGCCACGCCCACGGCGAGGCCTGGAAGGGCGCTGGGGCAAATGGGGAAATATACATATGTATATGCATATACAATGCATAGACATACATACTACGATATATATATATATATATGTATATATATATATGTATATATATATATATATGTATATGTATATGTATATATATATATGTGTATATGTATATGCATATTGCGAATGTGCTTTGGATATGCAGATGTGCCATAATGTACGAATGCTGGTTCCATGTGGCTCCGACAAAATAATCCCAAAAAGCCCGGCCCCAAACAACCCCAAACAGCCGGTCCAACCTTTGTTCTGCCGACAACCAAGGTCCATCATGTTGGCATCATCATCTTTAAATGTGTGTGTGTGTATGTGTATGAAATGTCGACATGGTGAATTCATGCGACTACAGCACCTTGACAGTCTTGCGCTTGTAAGCTGACAAGTCAGTTTGCACGTCTTTCTTTCAAGCTGCCAAGAGCAATTGTGCGAGTCAGTGGTCTCTGCGGAAAAGGCAGGAGTGTCAGGCCGAATGGAATGCCGAGTGCCAGTTCAGTTTGCAAAGGCAAGCAAGGCCCGGTAGCTCGTTTTGCAAGGTCCCGCTCACTTGTGTCTCGCCCAACCCCGAAGCCCCGCTCCTGCAATGGTCGCGATCACTGTTGGGATGACCACCGCATCGTCGCCCCCTTGGACCAAGTCACATGCGTCATGACAGCTGGGTCAAAAAAACTCCATGGAGCCCCGGGAAAGGTCAGCATCTCGTGCTTTAGGTAGTGCCCGTTTTTCCGAAAGAGTTCCCTCGGGTGTCCGGTACCCGTCACATAGTCAAACAATGCTTCAATCCTTTTGAAGGAGGGACACGCGATCTCGTCTTGCAATTTACTGGGTTCTCTCAACCCACTAACATGTCGCTTTCTACCATTTTCGCTGCTCACCCTGGCCAACATCTACTCACCAATCTCTTGCACTGGATTCCAGAATTTTCTGCTCGCATGTCGCTTCTTGCACCCGAGCCAAACCCAACCTCTTGGCTCGCATCCGGACTCCGGGCCCCCCGCGCGCCACCCTCGGAGCCCGCTGCGCGGGCGCCCGGATGCCCACCCAGCCGCTTTGGCCAGCGGTTGCACCGCGGGAGGGCCTGAAAGCGCTCGCCTTCTCTTCGGAAAACCCAAGACCCCCAAATTTGGCGGTTTTCGGTGTTCCTTCTGGTGGTCCCTTTTACAAAGAATCCCCCCAAAAAACGGAGGGTACCCTCAAAACAAGACAAACCCACATGGGTATGGATGCTGATAGGGGGACCCGTTTTGTGGACATCATTGGGGTTGAGACCCATGTCCGACCTGTTTTGAGCATGGCTAGGGGGAACATGGGTATGGCTCGTCTGTGAAAGGCGAGCTATGCAGTTGCTGTTGCGGACCCTTTCGCGGTGGTTTGCGCGACCACGTGCTTGCGATCGTAGGGATTTCGTTCCCTCAGGTTCGCTTTCGCGGCGGATGCGATCGAAACACACGTCCGCAGGAGCGTGGCACTTGGAGCTAAGCGCAAAGGTAGAAACAGCAACATCAGCTTGGAATGGGGATGGGTGTTGCTTTCGCTTGCTTTCTCGTGGATTTCGTGGAGAACAAACACACATGTGTATGTATGTGCATATATATATATATATGTTTGGGATAGCCTTGACCTCCATGCGCATGCGCCAGCGCCACCAAACCTTGCTGCAATATAGACCCACAATGGATGCCCCTTTTTGTATTTTTCAGGGTACCCTTTAGGGAAAGCAAAAGGAATCTGTTCTGCGGCCCTGAATGGTGTCTAACTTCACCAGTTTAAGCCGTGGCATGTAGTTCGGATTGGTGGGTTGGGGACTTGAACCCCTGGCATTTGTATGGGAAACCACCCCCCCAATCCTCCAAACCATCAAGCTGGCTTGTCAAAGTGCCAGGCTAAGCCGCTCGAAAAAGCTGGCCAGTGGCTCCGGCACGCGCCGGCATCTGAGGCCTCCACGTGGTCAGGAAGCCAAGGCCACTGTAAGTCAGGACCTCATCCGGAAGAAAACCCCAACACAGCCGGGAGGGATGTGTCAAAAACAAACCCAAAAGCCTGCCAGTTGAAGCGGGTTTGCTGCTTTGAGTCGGGAAAATGCGCGTAACTTTGGATCTGCACGGGCAGAACGAGTCTCCGGAATCTTGCTGGATCGAATTTCGGACGAAGTCGCATTGATCAATCGAATTGGGATCCCCGCCAGGGCGCTGAGCAGCAGCCCTCTGAAGCTTCCTGGCGCTTGAGTCCAGGTGCAGCCTTCCTTTGAAATGGCTCAGGGAATGAGAAATGGATTCCAGAATGACCCCCAAAACAACAAAAAAGACTTTTCGTGGCTTCCTTCAAGGGAATTTCCGGGTTCATTCCCTCATTCCCTACTTATCGCACCAGCAAGATGGACCGGGGTACGGTACTTGGAAGACCTCCTGTGGAGAGCTGTTTGGGGGGGGGGACAGCTCGAGTTCGGATCGCGCGCCAAGGCCTTGTCGCGAACCGGTCATCGCCGCCTGACGGGGTCAAAGCGGGCGAGTTACCAGGCGACAAAGACACACAGAGGATTCATTCAGGCCTCGCCGAATTCCTCCGGTGTCAAAAGATGCTTCTAAACTATGTCCAACACGCAAGGAAAACTAAGAGCCGAACAGTGGAAGTATTGGGAGGTCCCCAAATTAGATGTTACTCCATTGAAAGTTGGCTTGGGAAAAAAATGTCCTTTGCTTCTGCGAAACATCCGGCACCGCCAGGTTTGCCATTGAGGGCTCTGCAAGCAACCTTTGAAAGGCAAGCCCTTCGAACGAGTGTCGAGGTACCTTGCGCCCCACAAGGCGCGTGAGAACGGCTTCTGTAGCCGTGGTGAACCTTCCAACTACCAGGCACCTCCTATTTAATCAGTTTTGTGGTCCTGCCATCGCGTGCCGTTCCCACAAAAGATCTGGGCTGGGGACCTGGGTGCTGCATACATCCTAACAGAGCTAGAAAGGGGTCTGCATTCTGGGTGAGGATGTAGACGGCTGACTTGCGGGCGTGCTACAATTTCCGTCCAAGCGACCTGGATGGCTAAGTCCAAAGCACTTATGTTTTGGGTGGCCTGCTGCAAAAGGGGCAAGTAACAGATGTGGCATTGCGAAGTGCAAATAGCAGCAGGTCCCCACAGGTCCTATCTCTCACTACAGGTGGGGCCACTGTTGGCTTGCAAATGCTTGCAGCTCAGGTCAGCTCTAGACCGGCCGTGTGCGGCAACGCTCAACAAGGCCAAACAGGGCAGACCATGTGCGGTCAAACCGCCTGGGGCCTGTCCGCTCTGACTCCACCGGCCTGTCCGCACTGCGTAAGCGGCTTCCCGTCTTGAGCCGACTCGGCCGGTGAGGTGTCCGTCTGGTACCAACTCGGGCGCGAATCCATTCACCTCGGCTTCGGTGCCGCCTTTTGGATTCGCTTTTGGAGCAGTGGGCAATGGCGCAGCGACGGCAAGCTCTTTTTCGGTCGTAAACGCCTTGCATGGCTTGGAGCCCCGTCAAAACGCAGCCTCCCTCTCGAGAGGCTCGGCGCGGAGCAAGGCGCATGAATTTCCATCTACGGAAGGCTTGGCTCAGAATGGGGGGAAGACGGGTCCTTTTGCACCTTTGGGACTTCCCTTGGGTCCCTTGAGTCTTTTGCAGAGAATCTTCTGCTTCTCCTAAGCCCTTGCTGCGGATACCTTGCGCGGGAAACAAACACCGTGTGAAGGGCTTGGAGACCACGAGTCCATCCCTCAGATGCAATGAACAGCTTGAGCGGTGGGTTGGTAGCCTTTTCTGGTTGGTTCAAAGAAGACAACCCTCAAACACGGGCTAAAAGGGGCTGACTTGTTTGAGGGCACTCAATGGGTTCGTGTGGCTTTGGCCCAGCCAGAGGGGCCCGGAAACGCAGGAGTTCCATCGATGTTGTGCGCAAGGGAGCAAGGGGTTCTGAAAAAAAGGGAATTATATAATACTGTTGATATTGCTTGTGTTGTTTGTGCTGTTGTTGTTTGTGATAGTGATACTGAAACATTTGTGGGATGAGCTGTTGATATGACCCCTCAAAAAGGGTCAGCTTCCTCTTGGGTCCCCTTCGAAGCCTTCCCGCGGCCTTCCACGGACTGAAGTCCAAGAGCGACCCACCGCGGCCACTGATCCAGTGGCCTTCTCCGTAACACAAACGGGCCAGCCTTGGACCCAGACAGTCGGACCCAGCTGATATGGACCTATAAACTAAAATCATTTATGGCTTCCCCAAGTCAAACAGCTGATATGGACCTATAAATGCCTCTAAACTAAATCATTGAATACATGGCTTCCCGTCAACCCATTGGGGACAAGGATCCGACTTTCTGGGTCTGAGGTTGGTCCCTTTGATGCTGTGGATGGACAAAATCCTGCACCTAATAAACCCTGGAAGGATGAGTCCGTTATAAATAGCAACAAACTAATGGTTCCCATATGTTCAAAGTGGTGCAGGATTTTGTCCACCCACAGTATTAACTATCAGGAATGAGAGTTGTTCAAGTTGGCCCAGGTCTGCGGATCTGCTCTCACAACGTTAACTGAAGCACGCACACGGCAGGCACAGCCGTAGAGAGCGAGGCCAACGCCTCGCCAAAAAACAAATCCGTATATGCGGGTTCCACATTGTATGAACAGCTGCTTGTTTCCCGGCCATCTTTCATGGGTCGCGTTTCCCGTGTTCATCGGGAAATCTGGGTTTGTCTCCAAATCGAATGCCTACCGTCTGCTGCCTTGGCTGGCGCTTGCTTGTCCTGCGAATGCGACAAGGCTCGGGGTACAAGCGCCAGCTTGGCCCTTCTGCGCTCTTTGAGCGGCGGCGCCTTGCGTTATGCCAAGCCAGTGGGCCCGCGGGTCAAGCAATTGCACACCTCGATGGGGGCACAACATCCCGGCCGCACGGTAGGCTTGGTAGTCTCTATGTGTGAAACTGGCCATTCAGATCACGCTACGCGTGCTTGCACTCCTGCGCATGGCTGCCCCCTGCCCGGCACTGCCCCCTCACCACAATGGAAGCATGCCCTGAAAGCCATACTGTTCGCGCATTGGCCAGTTGTCAGTTCTCAATCGGGTCTGAGTGTCCATCATCCTCGAGCCAGAAAGCTCAAGTCGCTTTTAAGTACAAATATTGAATAGCAGTGGCTCTCATGTACGCTTTCATGCTCTGGGGTGATTGTTGCTGTTGCCGCTGCCAATCCCCTGCCAGGCTCCTCACTCTTGCAGTTGATAATGTCGACATTCACGTGATCCTGGTTGAAGCCAAGGCAAGCCCGGGTGGTATCCCTAGCAGCCCCGGACCCCCCTGGAACCCTCCAGAACCGGCTGCTCCGAACCACCCAAGAGAGCTTATTTGGGCATAGACCGCAAAGCTTTCAGCTGTTGGGGTAACAAAGGGGTCGCACCCCGACCTCCAATATCGCCCTTACAGGTGCCCCAACACTGGCTTCAGCTCTCACCATGGCTGAACTCAACACCTGCAATATCAACATGGCTATGGGTCAAAACACCGTACCCCCAGTGAACATCCCCATCCCCACAAAGACTAGAATGGGTGGTGCACCTACCCCAAAATGGTACCATTGGTGTTGACCCACGGCCACATGAGGAGGCACACATCGGTTTCCCAAGTTTGCTTTCTTCGGAACAGATTCTCATGGCTCAAGCAAAAGCATTGGCAAATCCCGCCTGGACTCCTTTGGAGCTGGAACTGGACCTGGCACGCGTTCGTCCGGAGTCGGGGGGTGGGTTTGTCTTGGTTTCAACCTTCAAAAGGGTGTGGCTCAAAAAAATCGAGGCCCGACATGGAACCCAGCGGACAGCTAACCCAAAACCTGCGGCCGCTGCCTCCTACATGTTGAGCCATACTCCAAGAAAATGTATCACAGATGGGGTGTTGCCCTGGCATCAAGATTCAGGGCCTGACGGGTTACCAAAGCTCTCTGTTGCTCCAGTGGCATCCATCACTAGATGAGTTCCAGATCTGGCCTAAATCGCCTGACAGGCTCCGAGGTGGAGCAGAAGGCCGACTGTGTGTGAAAGTGGCAGGCTGCATCCTTGTGATTGTTGTCAAGTGTTCCCTCCTTATCGGTTTATGGCTCCAGCTCTTGTATCTACCTAAAATCCCCTCGTAGTGTGCCTGCGGTCTTCCTGCAGACACGCTGTAGTCTTGCAACCCTGGCGTAGTCTTCGCTTTCTTCCGGTAGTCTGCATGTGACACCTTCGACTCGTCTCTGGCATTCAGGGCCCCAAGCCTGGCAAGGTTGTTTTACTCACATTGCTCTCGCTGGATTCTCGGCTCCGGTGTTGGGCTTTCCGGGCGATGCTTTTTCGAGACACATGTGCTGCATTCCTTCAAGGCTTGCAAGGGCTGCTCAGGTTACAGCGCCTTTGCGCAATAGAACTTGTGGGCGTACCATCCCTCCAACACTCACGGAAGGAAGTACTTTCCTTTCGGGGAGGCCCCAAAACGTCCACTTCCAGATTCCATTGTTTGAAAGAGCGCAGCCTTTACACAACGATGCCACTATTTGTTTGCAGCTTTCAGGCATTTGTATCGCGCCTCCTGGATGCACCATTGGCATCCTGAAATTTTGGCCGATGACTGACACCCCGATCTTTCGTTTGGTGACCATGGTGACCCAAATTCGACGTAGGAGCAAAAGCCAGTCTTGCTGGCTCCCCTTGTGGCCATTGGAAACTGGGGTATTGTGCAACCTCGGAACAACTATGCCACCCCTAACAATCATCATGGAACCACTTGCGACCCCGCCAATTGATTCCCCAAGTCGGCGACATGGGAATGCAGCATCGCTTTCAACTGTGGTTGCAACATGTTGGCCTGCAACAAGAAAACAAAACAACAGTTGCCAGGATGTGGTTGGCAAGCAAACCTCCCCAGACCATCTGGCCCCTTTTGAGAGGTTGGGAGCCTTCACTCTGAGTCCGGCACGTGAAGCCCGTTCGTCCTCAGAAGCAAAACCTCGGGCAAGCACTGCGATTCCAACCCGCGCTCGATTCGAACACAGAGGCACCAGACACTACACATCGTGTTCCTCAGCCAACTGGGTACCTCATACATTTGAACGAACTCAGATGTCTTTAACTGTTGGAGACGGTTCCCTTTCAGCCACCATATTTCAATCTGGAGGATACATGTGTCTTTTGTCTTGCTCCCTTTTAACCGCCATCGGGGCACATGTGTGCCTTTTCCTTTTGGAGATGGTTTGCCCTGGAACCGCTGCAGGGGCGATTTTGAGGGGCAGCTTTGTAGGATGTGGACCCAATCTCTGAGGGTCGAACACTGAGGGCCTGCTTCTCCTCCGCTTCGGTGATTCGCAGCCGGAAGCCCTGAGTTGGCCGCAACATCTCTCGGTCAACTGACCGAGAGATGGTCATGTTTGCCATTTTGTGAAGGGTACCTTCTTCTCACATCTTTAAAAAGGGAAAGGACAACCACCATCTTGGAGGTCAAAAAAAGACACGCGCAAATGCGTGTAAAACATGGCGCCCATGCGGGGTGTGGGTGCAGAACCCCAACGAATCCACCCCGTTCGTTCAGCCCTCACAGGTCGGAAGCTGCTCGGCGGCCGGCCCGCATCTTGAAGATGCGAAAGAGGGCGGCATCGAGCACCTGAGGTCTGAGAGGACAATTTTCGGAGCCAAGCCAGGAGAAAACTCACGCCAAGAAACAAATAAAACAAGCAAGGAAGCCAGCAAGGAAGCCCCAAGCAAGCAAGCAAGCAAGCAAGCAAGCAAGCAAGCAAGCAAGCAAGCAAGCAAGCAAGCAAGCAAGCAAGCAAGCAAGCAAGCAAGCAAGCAAGCAAGCAAGCAAGCAAGCAAGCAAGCAAGCAAAAACAAACAAACAAACAAACAAACAGACAGACAGACAGACAGACAGACAGACAAACAAACAATTAGACAACAGACAGACAAACAGACAAACAAACAAACAAGCAAGCAAGCGAACAAACACACAGTCTTCCCTGAAGTTCTCTCACGATGGGGAATGTTGCTGATGCGATCATGTGGGGCCTTCCGAGAGGGGCCGGCCACAGCCATGACTTCGAGCGAGAAAACACGTGCCCTACCTTCAGATTTGAGATGCCACTTGGGTTCTCAAAATGGGGCACCCCGTTTGGTTGGGGTGTAAAGGGAAGCTAAAATGAAACCAACCATAGGGGAGCACTATCTTGAGAAATACTCACTTAGGTGTGGCTCAAAATTAAACAGGAGGGGTTACGCAGGTGTTGGTCCATGTTTCCACTTACCAGGGTTCCATTTTGGTACCGCTGTTTGAGCCACAGCCACTTAGGTGCCGCGCTTTTAGGTTGCAGTACTTCTTGAAGATGTGCTGCTGCCAAACCCTGGCACTGGTGATTTTCGACAGGCCTGGAAAGGGCCTGGAAGCCTCCTCCAAAACCTGCTCTAAACTCTGTCACGTTTCTACCAATGCTTGTGCCTTCTCGCATCTGTGTGCCTCTGTGACTCTATGTGTGCGTGTATCTCTCTCTCTCTCTCGCAGTATTGTTGCGTATCTGAGAGTCTCTGTATCTGTGTGCCTGCTTGCCTCTTTGTGCACATTTGCACCGTCAATGTGTGTGTGTGTGTGGCTTGGGCATGCATGTATCCGTCTCCTGTCTGTGTGCCTCCGTGACTGTTCCCGTGTCAGCTTGTCTGCTGCATGTCTGTGACTGTGTGCGCGCAAACGTCTGTGTCGTTTTTGCTGCTCCCGCGTGTCTCTGTGTGCGTACGCAGCTCCTAAAATCCTGGATTTCCCCGAATCTGAAGCTGTCCTGATGGGTCACTTGCCGATCGCGATATCCTTAGCTTAAGTAATACAAGCGTTGAGGCCGAAATGTCCATGTGCGTACATATGTAATTTACACATGTGTATATATATATATATGTGACAGTGTGTGTACATGTACATATACGTATACGTATACATAATTACATATCTATATATATATATATATTTATGACTACACAAGGGGCCCACATGTTCCTTGTACCTTTAGTCGCTGGTCAAACTGCCATGTCACCCTGTCCCTCCTCAATGGCACTCACTCAGGCGCAAAGTCTTGAAAACCCATGCTGGGACCGGCCACCTAGAGACTGGTGCACTCATCCTTCAGCTTGCGTACTGAACAGGTGCATTTGAGTCTCTCCAAACATAGTCCCAAAAAAATCCAGCGGCTCGCAGGTCTCTTCCAACAGGGGTCCTCCACTTTTTTGGACACCATTTACTCGGAAGACCAGTGTCTATGGACATGGGCCACCTTGTTGGGTGGTTGGGATTGAAGGGAACCCCCTTCCCAAGAGAGTGGAACAACGGCCCCCAAAAACCGCGCCTCAAAGGGCAGGTCTCATCCAGCAAAAAGCTATGCGCCAGGTAGATGAGGAGAACGCAAACATGCGCTGCCTTGAAAATGGGCCAACGGCGCAAAGAACAGCATCAGTCCGATAACAGTCTCTCTTTCAAACCTTTTCATTGCATAGATATTCGTGGTCTTTTGCAGGCGGGCAGTCTACTCTCCCGTAGCTTAAGCCCTGCCTGAAAAAATGTGCAGCGGGGAAAAAAAGGTCCTGGTTCCTTGACACATATGGCTAGTCCTCAGAGTGGATCATGGCTTCATGAGAAAGTCCCTACATGGGCAAAACGATGTGTTGCTTTTGATTGGTCGGTCATACGGATGGGAACCAACGGAGAAGAGGATGCCATAGATGTCCTTGTGAAATAGATGGATTTCCCCACTAAATGATAAACCAATGTAAACTAACCTAAGGACACCTGTGGACAAGGGTCCCCTTTTTGGGGGTGTCTCAAAGTGGATTTCGGACCCCCTGCAAAATGCTTTTGTGACGGGAAACCGAGCCGAAGCCTGAAAAGGACACTCGTGCCACCGAACTGGCCATGCTTTGGCGGCACGAAACGTGCACGTGGACCGTGCAGGCGAAACAAAGGCCCCAAACACAGGGCGCTGGATGTGCTTTGAGTGAATGGCACGGACGCAAGGAGAGAGAGAGAGAGAGAGCTAGAAACATTAAACACCAAAGAAAGAAAACAAACAAACAAACAAACAAACAAACGGACAAACAGACAAACAGACAAACAGACAAACAGACAAACAGACAAACAGACAAACAGACAGAAAAACAAACAAGCAAACAAACAAACAAACAAGCGATCACATACTTAAATGAATGAATATACATCTACAACAAAAAACTAAATCGATAACTAACCAACTAACGCAGTAAACAAATGAACAAACAAATCTAGCAAGCAGGACTCGAGTAAGACACAGTGGATATTGTGGATAGCCTTGATTCTAAGCACAATTCAGCACATATTTACCACTGTCGTCCGGCCTCGTAATCGCTCATCTTCTGGCCAATGGCAGTGAAAGCACCTTGTGAGAAGGAGCAAAGGATCATGCTGCAACGCCCACGTGGCCCATTAAGAAAAGTGATCGTTCCAACTAGCCGTGGTGTCACGGTCACCCTTCACTCCAAAACAACTTCTCACAAGAGGGCACCATGTGATTTCTGCTGTTATTCTTCTGTTGGTGTCCGCTAGTTTCACCAAACAGTTCCTATTCTCAGTTGCCCCCTCTGGACCTAGAAACAAAAGGCAAGCTTCTGGGACCCTTATAGACACAAAAGGGAAAACCAAACGGACAAAAGGTCGGCACTGGGCAGGAACCTGACTTGCCCAAACCTGCCGGACACGCATTCAACCCGACGCGATTGAGCAAGCGGCTACGGAAGTAGACGCTGGCATAGGCCAGCGTGAGAACCACGTCCGCGTAATGATAGTCGCACAAGTGCATCAGGCGAATGCCCTGTGCGATGCGTGCGTGAAGCTTCACCAAAAAGAAAAGCACCTCGCTTAGCCTGAAGAGATCCTGGATATCGTCTGGAATCTTGGCTATGGCAGGCTCTTTTTGGCCAATATGCATGGCCACATGCACACAAAAAGCTGACCACTGCACATGCCCCCACCTCCGGGGGTGCAACCCCTTGGCACACCTAAACTGAGTGAAGAGAGTAGTTTGCCACGAGAAAACAGACGGAGTGCCCTCCGAAGCGCCAGAGCTGCTGCTCGAAACTCCGCTGAGGCAAAATAGAAACAGAGGGATCATCGCCTGAAGGTCCCACATGAGCTCTGCTGAAGCGTGTGCTCTGGCAACAATAAACATGCCGGAGGCTCCAACAAGCGTGATGCCCAAGATCCGACAAGGGGAAGACGTGTAGGTGAGAAAAAACTAGTTCTAACCAGACAATACGTTCACTCCCACGAATGGCGAATTAGAAGTTAAATAGGTTCATCCCCAGGATGCCGCAGGATGTTGGGGATACATTGCTGTTGAAAAATCAAGGGTGGGGCATAGGGGTAGGGGTCTGCTGCATACAAATTGAGGAAGAGAGAGATGCCGCTCAAGTGTCAATTGCACGGTCAGAGGATCCTTAAGCATCCCGGTGACGCATCTGAGCGACGTTGTCAGGTTGCCAACCCCGGATTGATACCCCCGGAGCGAACCCACACATTGCAACTTGGGCGCCGCAATCAACAAGGCGTAGTTGTCCAGGACTTTGTTTGTTGGAAGTCGAAGTTGGGCGATGATTCGCGTTAGCCAAATTGCCACCCCGCGTTGTAAGCACTGAAAATGCCATCATCTCTGCACGGGTCTGTTGCCATAAACCTCTGCCCAAAGCTCCCCGTCCCCTTTCCATCGCCTCTCTTTCCTAGCTACCCCAATAACATGTGCAACGCGCCGTTGCCCGCCTGCAACACCTTCTTGTAGAGGGTGTCGTGCTTGACCCCGGGGCTTGCCAGCCCCTTCTCCTCGGAGTCTTGTTCCAGGCCGTGGATCAGCGCCGCGAACCTGATCCGGGCCCCAGACCGCCGCTTCAAGGAAAAAGGTGGGAAACAGCGAGGGGAGCGAGGTGACTTTTTAGGGGAACTCGGGCTGGCCCCTGAGAGGTTGTGGGCGAATGAATGCCCAAACGGCTGGAGCGGGCCGGCGCTGTTGAAATTTTGTGCTGGACTAGGTGAAGCTGAGGGGTGAGGGCACGAAATAGGAGCTGTTGTGGCCAAACGTGGGTCAGACTCCTCGCCACTACGGCTGTGGCTGTGCTTCAGTTATTTGACACATACCCTATTTGACACATACCTATTTGACACATACCCTATTTGGTCAGACTCCACCTATTTGACACATACCCTCCCTCATGAGAAACTATCTGGCCCATGCTGCGCAAAGTTAGATGGAGAAAGGGGTGTTTGCGCGGCTATTGGTATAAAGCTGCGTTTGTCCATGTTGGGTTTGCTTCGGAGGACCACGAGGGCTGTAGGCTTTGGTCTTCCTTTTCGGAAGCTTCAGCCCATCTTGGGGCTGTCCGAAAGCAAATGAAGCAGGGAGACGCCCCTGACTGGCACGTGCCCATCCCTTCCATCAAAAACACACACACACAAACACAAAAACACACACACACATACACACACACACACACACACACACACACACACTTATCTCGAGAGGCTTCACTAGCCGAGATGCAAAACGCAGTCAGTAAAAATGCTTGAATGCAAATGCAAATCAACAGGTCACAACATCGACACCGAACAGGAAGCAACAGCGACAAACAGAAACCGCAAAAAGAATCAGGAAAGAGGGTCAGGAAATAGGCAGGTACGCCGGATTGATCAGATCCGGTATCCACCGAAATGCCGTAGCTTCATTGGACTGGATAGGCAAATCGGCTCCAGTCCCCCTGCAATGTGGAATTTCCGTCCGTGCTCCAGGACGCTTCACACACACGGAGCCCCAATTGGGGCGACATCACTTGTGCAAGGCCCATTGAGTCTTGCAAGCATCAATTGTGCGAGAAAGTCTTGTGGCGATGACTGACCACACATACTTGGCTTTGGAATTGGTCTTAAGGGAACGGAGCTCAGTCCAGAGGCAGGTTCAGTCCAGTCCTGGTCGATGTGGTAGCTTCGCTTGGTCCACGAGCAGGTTTTGGATGCCGTAGATCGTGAGGAGGCCAAATCACGTGCGCGGCGAGCTCGTTTTTCGCCGGAAGAAGACGGAGGAGGGGTGGGCGGAGCCCAATGATCAGGGAATTGTTCGTCATGATCAGTGGGAAGGTGTTCATCTGGAGCATCAGGAGGTGGCTCAAAGAGGTCCTCGAGGGGGGCCAGGAGGGGTGTTGGTGGTGAGTTGGTCAGGTCCTCAATGGCGGGGTTGAACGTGGCCTCCGGTGCCAAATCAGGTTCGGCAGGCGGACTCTCAGGGAACTCGCGGATGGTGGCGATGCCTTGTTGGGCAATGCCAAGGATGAGTTCGAAGTCTTGGAGCAGCTGGCGTGCTGTGTTGGTATCCATGCTCGTAACGGATTTTGGTCAAACAGTCAAACAGCTGCGGCGCGAAAATCAGGTCAAATCTGTCAGGATGCAAAGGCAGAGAAGAAAACCAGTGTGGTTCCGCAAAGGACGGTTTTTCTTCTCTTTGTAAGGTGAAACCGTGTTGGAGGTGCAACCTCTTCAACATTGCAAGACCCTGACCTCGCTGAAACTCAGGAAAGGAAACTCGGTTGATCAGCGTGCGTCCGGAATAACATCCAGATTCCTTATGCATCAGTGGTGCGGCTGACTTGACGGAGAGCATGTTGTGCTTCTCATGCGAGGGGATGAAGGAGATGGTGCTGCTTGTGAGGTTCAGTCGGAACCCCAAGAAGTCCAGGGCGGCTTCTGTGTCCAGGAAGATGTCTCCTCCATAGAAGTGTTCGTCGCACAGTATGTTGGCTGCCGGAGTCGAGAGCCACCTGGGGGTTGCGATCACGAGTCTGTTGTCCACGTAGCGGAGTAGGAGAGTATCTTCAACGGAGCGAAGTCCCGATGTGATGTGAGTGTTGGTCCAACATTGTTCGGCGACCGCGATCACCATCAAACAGAGAGCTGGGGACGCGGGGGATCCCATCGGTGCCCCACGTGTTTGCCTGAATGAACGAAGGCCGACAGAGAAGATCTGCATGTCAAGGGTGGCCTGAATGATCTCGGGGATGTCGTCGAGCCACAGGGTGCGTTGTGTGGGTTTGTGTCGGCGACGGCGTCCGTTGTAGACGCGGGTGATGGCAGAGGTGTCAAGTGTGTCCACTGTGAGGTGTGTGGTAGAGGAGTGTGGTTGTCGTTGTCGGTACCAGGTTAGCAGTAGTCGCCAGGCGAGGAAGGGTGCAAGCATCGGTCTCGAGGGGCCAGGTGGAATGAGGCCCCGGAATTGTAAACTGGATCGAATGGCGGAAAGGCATGCCTGGTGGTGTGGTTCAGGCAGGTGTGTGGCTATGCGATGAAGGACATAGAGAGCGGCGGGTGGGAAGTCTCTGGTCCGTATGTAACGGATGGCATCAAATCGTCGTAGAGTGTTGCTGCCAAGATCGCCCAAAAATCGCCACAAATCCAGGCGGTTGTCCACGCGTTTGGCCAGGAAGGCCTGTTGTAGGGCGATGGGTAGTCGTAGTCGGCGGCGTTTTCGCCAGATGGTGGCGAAGCCCATGTGCCGGGATTGGGAGAAGTCCAATTGGCGTATGAAGCCCGTGCGTGGCCGGAAATGTTTCTCGATGAAGCCAAAATTGAGAGACGGTTGCAGTTCCTGGATGTAGAACTGTTCAGTGGCAAATAGGTCCGTTGCCGGAACGACAGTGTGAATGGGCACCGAGGTGTAGTGGTGGAAAAAGTCGAAATGTGCCCACCACCGGACTGCCAGTTCGGCATTGACCAGATGATGTCGCTGAACTTGGAGTAGTTTGCGAAGTTGGCTGCGGCCCCGTGCCATGAGGGAGGCGCGAGTGGCTCCGAGGTAGAAAAAGGCCTGCCACTTTGGATGGCTGGTGAATCTCAGATAAACCGCTGAAGGGACAAGCTGAGAAGAGAAATCGGAAGCAGGGTTGTCCAGGCCAAGTCGAGTAAGCAGGGCTTTCAGTCTGCCGGAACCACAGGAGAGATGGCAGACGTCAAGTAGCTGAAGCTGTGCGAGTAGCCAGGAGCAAGAATGACGTGCGGTGACGTCATCGGTTGGGAAGAACCGAAGAGTGAAACGGAGGACAGTGAGAAGTTGGCAGCAGTGGTGTTGCCAAAATTTGTGCTGCCTGGCTGTGCGTCGTTGTCGGTGTGCTGTTGAGAGTCACTGGTAGAAGTGACTCGCAGCGGCCAGGATGCGGCCCAAGGCCGATGACCCCAGTTTTGATAGGGTTCGCACCGGGATGCCCCATAGCACAGCGGCTCGTTCGAGTTGGGCTCTGGTGTCGGAGTCCAGTGTGGTTGCCCATTTTGCGCAGTCGTTGGACCAGCTTTTTAGGACTTGCTTGCTCTCTTTGCTGGTTTTCTGAGAGGTGATCCATCGCTGGACTTTGGTGTCGGAAATGTCGGGTGGGAAGTTGCTGGTGAGCCATTGGCAAACGTGGGGAGGTGGTTGGAGCAAGTCGCGGGGCTCCTTCCAAGTGGGTGGGGAGGGGAGGGGGGGAGGGGTCGGGGTGCCGCCGTGGGTGGAGGGGGCTGGAGGGTTGCCGCCGTGGGTGGGGGGAGCCGGGGGGGGTTGGGAGTCGTCTGCAATGCGAGTGGGCAGGGGTAGAGCGGGGGATCCGTCCTGCGGTGATGTGTCAGGTGTAGTCAACCGTGGTCGCTTTATGCCGAAGTCCAGGAGGGAGGCCTGAGATGGACGGGGGGAGGGGGGGGAAAGGGGTTGCCGCCGGGAGGGGGGGGGAGAGAGCCGCCAAAGGAGGGTGGACGAGGGCCGGGGTGTGGTGGGTAACGGGGAATAGGTTGGCCGTA